GCCCTTCAAACTCTTAGTCAAGAACTCCTGGCTTCTTCCGACGATGAAGACAGTATTAATCAAGACGATACTCCGCCCGATCCCAACGCCCCCTTTGGTGGCTCTTTAGCTCAAGATCCCTTTGAGGACATGCATGAATAATAATAAAAAAAAAAACACTCCGGGTTTAGTTGCTCTTTCACAAGGATGATGTTCCAGGCAGCAAGTCCTCGCAGATAGGCCGTAAGTCCGTTGGCAAGTCCCTTTGTGCCTCAGTTACTTCCGGGAACCCTCATCTGTAAATATCTAACAAAAACAAAAAAGGCAATAATATTCTATATGTAGTTGTATAATTTCAAATAATGTATATTCTGGTAGACTCTGTATATTATTTTAAAAACTTATTATATGAATACCGGATAAGCCGGTTACGATAAAATAAAGATACAGAGTATATCTGAACAAGATGTACTCTAAAAATATCATAAAATATTTAAACATTACAGGCGGGTCCCACTTTCTAGAAGACAGTGACACCCGACAGGCGGGACCCACCTCAAGACCCACTAGAAMACCCAGCTGCYATYTCGGCACCAATCGCAGCCTTACAGCAAAAAGAGACAGACAACTCTGACTCACCCTATCAACTTTAGACTAAAGTCAAACAACAAACCAATCAGAAGCAAGCACGAAATAAAGTGAATACGCAAAAGTCATTGAAGTAATTATTCAAGATTCGCCTGCTCCCCTATAAATACCCACTCTCGGGTTCAGAAGCAGGACACGAGCAATTTTCACAACCTCTCTCTACAATCTCTCTCTAAATTTCTTTGTAATCTTTCAAGTCTTATTTTGTATCCCATTTAAAATGTATAATTTCAAAATCTTGTATTTATATTCCGGAGAATCAATAAATTCGCAAGTTTTAACAATTACTCTGTGTAAATTCTAAACATACTTTATAAATTATTAAGCTAAAACAAATAAATCAAGAAGAGAAAATTATGAACTGCATGATTAAGTTAATGGAAGATTCTGTCGAAAGATTCTGTCGTCGACAGTCTGAGTAGCTACCCAGCCATTAGATGAACCAATGGTTACCAGTACATCATGATAGATATCACTATACACCAACACCATAGGGACCTTCTTATCCAACTCTCTGGTGCCACTTTCATTAGCATTGCCAATAATGAGTCTTCCCTGTTGCTCTCCACACGCAGTAACCCCGATGATGGAACAAGGAGGTGTTTGCAGCAAGGAAGATGATGAGAATACATTAGAGAGATGATGAAGATACGATCTTCTCACCAACGCAGGTTTGCCAAGACGGAGCCGGCTCAGAAGCAGAGACATGAATAGAATGTTCTTAAGAAAAGTGGCAAGAATGTTCTTGTAAAGAGCAAGAGATTAAAAGCCCTAATTGAAGAAACGGTAATTGATCAATTTCCCCTCCATTAATACAGAGGAATGCCCTTGACTGTGACACATCTTTTTCGATATTTTGGATTGATTTTCTTTATCCAAATTTATTTGATGGATGAACAAGGAAACCCTAACTGAAAGAATTGGTAATTTTATTTTATTTGGATATTTTTAGCGAATTTGTCCCCCAGAAAAAAACTACATATGAAGTGATTTTTTTCCGTTTCGAAAACGTTTTGGAAACAAAAAATTTTGTTTATGTGGAAAACACAATGAAAACGTATTTCTTCAAAATCTTAGTTTGGAAATTCGACGAAAATGTTCAATTCCATTTTGGAAACGCATTGGAAATCTTTTTTTTTTAAACATAAGTAAATAGTTTAGAAACGTAGGAGAGAATTTGGTATTTTTATAGGTTAAAAACAACAAAATTACGAAAGATTGCTCAAACAAGAAACAAAATTGTTCTAATTGAGATGATATATTTTATAGGTTATATGTGGGGAGAATAATTTAAAAACAATTTGATATTGTTCGTATTGTGTAATTTTTAAAACAAAGAGAAAAAGAAACCCAAGGGACAGAAATGAGATTCAATATAGCAGAATTTCTCTTCAAGAGCAAATGCATATCAATTTCACATAGAACATATATATATAGATTCCATGTTTGAAAGGTTTAAGAGAAAAGACCGTCTCTAGACTCAAATCGAAACCATGATAGATGGACCAGATCCAAATAAAAACTACTGACCACGGTACAAAGGGAAAAAGACTCAATGCCAAACGTCTACATTCTGAGGTGGAATATGGTAAGGGGCCGAGAATTTACCAATTCTACTAACGAAGGTGTAACCAGCCAGATTGACAAATGCGATTTCGTGACGTCAAAGATGTAAACATAGTTAGGGAGAAGGCCAGGAAATGAGCTAGCAGGGACACAGAAAGGTTCAGACTTTGAGAGAAAAATGCAGAGATCTCCAATGTCTTCAGTGTACACAGCGTTCCCTTGTTCGTCTAGCATGAACACCATCAACTCTTGTGTTTTCATTTTGGCAACACCCTTGATGATCTTGGCGGTCTTCTTGTACCACTTAACCAGGAAAGTCTCACCCGTGGTTATTGACTCCACCAAGAGGTCTGTCGTGCAACACGAATCCATAAGGTCGCCTTTGGTCTTGGTCAGCTTGGGAAAGTTTTGAAATCGCAACCTCTGCAACTTGGGCTCCTTTATGTGTTCGCAGAGATCCCATGATCCGATGAGGTGACCTCCAGAACCGGGAATGCGAAACATGTCATCTTTCTTGGAGAACATGACTCGGGAGGAGTAGAAACAGGGGTTTTCGATTCTTACGTTGGTCCACTCGGAGTTCCTTTCACCGGGTCTGCAAAATCTGAGCTGAGGTCCCAAGAACTTGGCAGCCACAACACAGTCCTCATCTTCAGGAGAAGAAGAAGACATTGACACGTTGGTGACGATTTGAGTCTGGCAACGAGGCAGAGTTACAAGAGGAGGCAGAGGAATGCGTTTCGAATGTGTGTCCGATACAGCTGGGTTTAGATCGTCTTGGAGACGCAAGATTCCTTCGTCGACAGTCTGAGTAGCTACCCAACCATTAGATGAGCCGATGGTTACCATTTTATTACCAAAAAGAAAGTTAAACACCAACTCCATCGGCACCTTCTTATCCAACGTTGTGGTGCCACTTTCGTTAGCATTGGCAATGATGAGATATCCACAATCAGCGCCGATGATGGAACAAGGAGGGGTTTGGAGC